GGTTGAGGAAGACCTCAGGTGCCCTTCCGTGCAAATAAGGATGCAAAACTTAAACTTTAATAACATTCTTTAACATTGTTTAACTTTATATATGCTAATACATCAACATAATTATTGTCACAAATATGTCATCATACTTATGTATCGGTTTATCCCGCTGTATAGGTAAACGATGCTTTCTTTATAATGTTTTAATGTAAATATGGTACACAACCTACTGAACCGTTTACAAAACTGATGTGTGCATTAAATATCAAAGTATTGGTTGAAATAATAGTAATCTAATCAACTACTGGTTGTTTCAGTGTGTAAGTAGGAGATTATAAGATTTATGATACCGCAAATTACAATTCACGTTGCATTTCGATACTCGGAAGTAATTGGGATTCAGACTTACCAAACTGCATATTGACTTTCAGGGCTATTCATTTTATTTTTAATAACACTTCTATTTTATCTGTGTGGAGTACTATATTACCAGTACAGCTACAGAAGCCAAGTTATTGTCGACATTTTTACAAGATTAAAGTTGATCAAATACTCTATTTGTCAAGCTTGTGTATTTGCTTATAACTGGTTTACCGTCATAATTATGTGGAATAACTCAAACAATTAATTAATTTAGAGACTTTGAGAACTTCTTGACTAATATTACTTAAATTGGTAGAGAAAATGACGTAAATGTTGATATCGGCTAAATTACCGCCAATGTGAACAATGTTCATTTCTCCATTTATATTTATGGTGTTTCTTTTATTACAATTAATGCCTGTAAAATAATTCAATTATCGGATAAGATTTCGCTGCTTATATAACCGGTGACCTGCTATCAATTAATGTCAGACATAAACAAATCTAAATTTGTTTTTACGGTAATGTGACAATCATGTTACTTAAAATGGTAATTATTCCCATCTGAAACACGTAAAAAAGCTGTAATTTGATATTATTTGGAAGGGCTTCACAGCCATCATGTCGAGTATATAACATTTGAAAATGGTATTTTGTCTGTAGTTATGGTAAATGGATATATCTTGTTCTTGTTGAAGAAAAAAAATGGTCATAATCAATACTATAATTATGACCTCATTTGAAAATATTTTTAGTGATGCCGTACATAATTGTAAAGTTTGTGCTTTATTGTCTGTTAAAAATAAATAAAATGCATTAGAAATAGAGACTATTTTAATATATCATGTTATAAACAGTTATCTTATTTTCCTTGCTCTCCTTACATGAAAACGACATTGTTGTCTACAGTGACATGTTATCTCTGTTTACACCATAGAATGATTAAGATTATATGTTTTCTATTGTAATTATGCAGTAAATCATTGTCGAATGAAAACGGGCAAAGCCATATTAATATATTTACGGTACAATGTATTAGAAATGTCCGTTTAATAGCAAAAATTTCAATCTGAAGTAATAGTTACCGTACGAGGAATAGGTCTGCATAGTATTTACAGACCCGGGTGGCGATTTGAAGACCGAGAGAGCGTAGCGATCGAGGTTTTTAAAAGGCCACCGGGTCTGTAAATACTATGCAGACCTTTTCCGAGTGCGGTAACTATCTTACCTACATGCTCTTTTGTTTTTCCATCTATACTTCATTTTTAAACTCAGTATTTATTAATATTACTCACAAGAAACAAATTATTTATGTACTTCATCGTGTTTAATAAAGCTTTCCAAAGTCATTCGAAAATACCAACCGCTACGCTCTTGTTATTCATTCGTTCACAAATCATTTGTTATTTTAATATTCTCGTGTTTTTCGTGGGGTTTCATTATGTAATAAGGTCAGTCAAGTAAATGTACTTGTTGAGTTGAGTAACAGAAAATGAAAACAGAACTTGTCGAGATTCTATTTCAAGTAGGCAAAGGTAAGATCTTTATTTTGATATATGAATACATAACATAATAATAACATATACACATATTGAGGAAGATAAAAAAAAGTTTTCTAATCATAAAAACGGAACACTATTTTTACTGGTATATATAATTAATTTCATGGTAATTAGATGATCAGGCTATTTCTAATATAATAAAAATATACGATTCTTTCAAAGGAAAGTAAAAGACAGGGTTCTATAAATAAACATTAGTAATACACGTAGATAAACCGTCATGTAAGTTGGGTTTTTTGTTGTTTTTTATGATGGCTGATTTTAAATATTCTTAGAATTTCATTCATGTTTGGAAGATTTCTCTTTCGGTGTATTTTTAATTAGCATAATCCCTTACTAATATGTTTAATAAGACCGCAGTCTGGAATGGGAGCGCAAGTCGTATTCATGCGAAGAACAGACGAGTACTGCATGTACTGTTATACAAAATTAAAATTGTAACATAAGAAAAACTGGGAAGAATGAGAAAAACGGTCTTATACTTAAGATGAACTATTCTCTCACTGAAAGTAATACTTTGGGAAAGAAAGATGCAGAAGTTGACTTTGATTCGATATGCACCAATAATAAAATCGTCTTATTTATCCCATGATGCAGAATTGTTAAAATAATGCAGGATTGTGCAAAATCAGACATAATTGTGGAAATAAATGTCGGAAACTAGTATCTTTTGAAGCTATATAGTTCGGCAAATGTGTTAGGTATACCGAAAAGCAAACAATAAAGAAAGGCTAAATGTGCGTTATTGTACTCATGCATATCGCGAAACACAACTTCAACGCCAGAACAGTATAAGTAGCCAGTTCGTTAGTCTTCACTCTTACAAATAATCTAGAATATATGTTATGAGGGCCCTTACAGCCGTATGCGCTAATTTATTTCTATTAATTTGGTGAAATATATATAGACCCTTTTTCCTATTTGAAGTGGTCATTACCTCCCCTCCCCACCCCCTATAAATTTGCACAATTCAGCGTCATTTTTCAAAATTTCTCTCTTACGGGATATCTGTTAACGGTGAATATTGTGTAATGCACGAGTTTCTCGACTTCTCATATTTTCTATTGTATTGAGAACAATAGAACAATAACAGGTCGGTATATATTTGCAGACCTGTTAAGCGGTCGGTAAGTGATTTACTAGACCGCTTTTAACAAAAGAGCCGGTAGGTATTGTTTGATTTTATTAACCTGTCAATTCCATACTAATTATACGGTCAATGCACAGCATATATTAATATTCGATAAATGCTTGGTAAATTCCGTGAGAATGTCCAACGTGTTGTAGATCGAGACATAGTATGTCCAGGTTTTTTTCTTATTCATAACTATTTTCAACATTTTTGAAGTTATGGTTGTTCCATTTTTAATATGTTTTTGCACTTTTTTTTGTAAATACTATACTTTTGTATATAACATTGTTATATTATAACTGTTTGTTATAATAGAATTAATTCTGAAAATTCATTCGGATTAAAATCAATAAAATGTAATTTCAGTACACAAAATGTGACAATTCAGTGTTTCTTAGGTGTTTCATATCCGTGTAGAAAATTTTGCAGGCGCTTGACCATTTTATTAAAAGAATTCTTAAAAATAAAGAAAGAATAAGTCTAAAAAGAAAGCCGAAAGAAGGGATCGAACCTCGAACCTCTCATGCAGTAGGTAATCACTTAACCGGCTGCGCTATTGCGGATGTTACGAGAATCTTTATTAAGCTAGTGGGAGTTTTCCAAACGTTAGTTATATACTCCATATTAATTCTCGTAAAATAAACGGACACAACCGAAGTGGGATCGAATATTTAAATGAGTGCTATAATGTATTCATAATTGACAGGTCAATAAAATCAGACTATAATGATAAAGAATGTGTGTTAGTTGTGCTGAGTTTAAACATATTTATTCCCGAAAGTATATAGGCCTATAATGTACATACAAATATATAACAAACAAAAAAATTTAGTTGTGCTTCTTTCAGAGTCTATAGATGTGTAGTTGACTTTTTGACTTTGCATGAACATACTTATCCTCGGTAACCCAGTTTTTTAACGCTATCGCTAAATACTGTTACATGTACTGTATTAAATGTAGTGTGAAAATACAGTATACAGGATACAGTTCTGTTTGCATAAATATTAAAATATCCCTTTTTATTTATGTAGAATCTGTTAGAGGAATATCTGAATTGTAAAAATATCGAGGATGATAGTCTCAAATCATTCTTTTCCGAGAAATATAATAAGTAAAATTTACTCTCAATTAATTAATTGATTGGGTTTCAGATATTTTGGCTTATGACAATTGGGAATTAATTTCGCCCATTTTTTCTAACTATTTGTAAGTGATTTAACCATGTGCTACAAAATAACAGTTTAACTTAATTTAAAGAAACACAACTGAATCCCCAAAGCGTAAAGATATAAAATTTGAATGTCTTACATGCATCACATTGGGAACTGAAATCAGAAAGATATGAAAAAGTACATTTAGATATATATTTGGAAATAAATTGGAAATCGTATTTTTGCGTTATCCTTAGTGCGATTTGAGTCAAAAATTTTGCAACGGCGAACATGCTTTACCACGCATTGATATAATTAAAAATATATTTTCAGAAATTGGATAGGTATACTCATTAACGTAGCACCTGTAGCACAATTTTCAACTCACTATCAAGTTACTTTCTGGAAGAATGCGGAATATTCTGGCAAATAGTGGACATTCTATTGTTTTCTGTTTCATCCGCGGGTATCGGTTTAATCTAGTGAAATCATCATAATTCAGGAGTCATAAATAAGATGGAAATAAGGTAAAAGAATCATGGGAAAGTTATATCTAGTAATGTTCTTGCACTTGAAGTACAGTTTGCCAGGCATAATTATTTTTAGCGATATAAATAGGACTGAACGTGGAAGAACGTGTGACTTTCACATTTGCCTAAATAAACGTAAATGCAGTCCATATAATTAACCCTCTCACAATTTTGTCCAACGGGTTAAAGGAAAATGTTTACTAGAAACAACCAACTAAGATTGTTCATCGGTGTACAAAGTGAAAAAATAACTGCACAATACTGCTGCGATATTTAAGTTTTATTTTGCAGTCAGTTAAACATTTTAAAATAATTCATTTCTAAACGCACAAGAATCAATTCCAAGTGGTGCATTTACTTTACAACATCAGAAGCTTAATAGCTTAGCAGACGGTACATGGTTTGACCTCCTCCAGGGCTCCACTACAATATGTTCCTTCGTGTGAAGGCGCTGGGTTCGAGCATGTACGCTCTCGAGACGAAAATCCAGCACAACCGTCTGTTTTAATGCACTGACCCCAAGACGCCCATTCCGTGAATTGTCCGTCAATAGCTGAAAACAAGAATTAGTTAAGAAAAGAAAGTTAATACTCAATCAGGGATAAGTACCGACCAGGAAGGTAACTGGTATGGGTTTTTTTTAATATTTATAAAATGACATGTGAAACATCTAACATTGGTATCAAGCTAATAAAATGACTTTCTGGTAACTTGTTAATTACAACCACCACTAATATTGAAGATTGTTATTGTTAGGTAATAGCTTCTAAGTTTTTGCTTTTAGCTAATATCTAAAATGATTCTAATTTTGTTACTTACACATGTATAAATATTCTGAATAAATTATATTTAAACCAAAAAGACAATCGCCGACCTCTTCGTTTGACGTCGATGACGTCATACTTGTATCACAATTATTTCAATCTAGTTTGGACTAAAAAGATAAGTGAGACATTTTAGAGTATGATATCGGATAATGAGGTCTAGTTCATTTTTAATGACATTCGACCCGGATACAAGTATAAAATGTGTTTCTTAATCATTTTTTTGATATTTTGCAAGGACTAATTTGATAGGTTGATAAACTTCCAAAGGCGGGGTTAACAACCTTAATGACATTGGCGGAAAAACTTACGACACTCTTTGTCCAAACATGCTTTTTCTTCGAAAAGAGTTCCCTCACATACTTTCCCTCCATTTGCAGGCCTCGGATTATCACATCTTCTTTCCCGTTTCATTATTCCAACTGAAATTAATATTGTATTATGCAATGGATATTTCATGCTAAAATCATACCATTGCAACAAATATTTACAATAACTTTTAGAAATGCATTTCGTCAATCTAATGTTTGAAAATCAATAGGGATGCTTTATTTCTAAAAAGAAATATTCATTTATTTGTTTTCATTTAAACAATTCTTTTTCTTAAAATGAAAAAATCTGAAATCGATATGATACAAAAATAGTATCAATGGCATGCACTTGTCTGCCGATTTTATTTTTCTACAATATATGCGAAGCACACAGCTAGAGCTGGTAAATACGCAACTTCCGGTATAATTTGTATGTCCTAGTTGAGAAGACTAGGGTATTATGATGTAATGACGTATATTTATAATACCGCCACAGGTGACGGAGCATTTTGACCACTTGGTCCAGTCACTGAGACCTCCATCAACGACGTCCCTTGTTGTAAATGGTCGAGTCACGCCAGCACCCCATCCCTTAAATACATATATAATTTTTATACGATTTTATTTTCTGTTAGAATCATCTAAGAATTTAAGACTATTAACAAACCAAATTAAGCTCATAGGAACGACTGCCATGGGAAAAAATCTTTTATTAAAAAATCGAATAAAAAGTAACAACAGAAAAAAAATCAAAATCTATAGTATTTTTAAAAGAAAAAAAAATTGATGGTCGCAACCATCTAAACGATATAAATTTCTCAAAACTGAGGCTATGTCGTCACAAACCCATTACTATATATACATGAATGTTATACATTTACATTATACACATGAAGAAATAAAACCCTCAGACAGAAAAATTTATGTTCTTATAACATTAAAGCCGAAGGTTTGCTATTATATTATGAAATGATTTAAAATCGAACAAGAACACAGGCAGGTGCACGTAGGCATACGATATTATTTCTAAATGTTTGATACACTTTCATTGTATGTTAGTTAATCAGCGATGTTTTCTTATATGTGAATCTAACCTCAACCTTCATATGGATCTGCTTGTTGTTAAAGAACAATATGCGTCAACAATAAATAACTAACCTCGGGTGGAACAGAAGCACCGTTTGCTGGTATGACGTCATCATACGTCGGAATGTCAGGCTAAAGTAAACATAAAAATTAACAATAATAATAATAACATACAAAATATCGTTAAATCATTATTGTACAAAAAAAAAAAAAATATCTCGTTTGCTTTAAATTTATTACTTCATGTATTTATCAATTATTGTTGGATTATAATTTGTTGAGAATTTAATGGCGGGGAAATGGCAGAAACATTAATGCAACTTCGGATTTAGAATAAAATTGAGGAAATATGCCATACAGATTATCCATTAAACATTAATTTAAACTTAAACTTGAACTTTAAACTCCTAAAAGCGTGCCGTCATATAGGTTAGTTTCACTGTAAAATATAATCTAAAAACACGGGTGTTCATGTCACTAGTTAATGTATACAACTTTAAAAAGAAAATGAGAAACGAAGGCAAAGCGTATTTCAAAGCGAGTGACAAAATCAAACCTTTGGCATGTTTAGCTTATCCCCATATAAGCGTTGCCTACAGTCAGCGTCGCTCAATGTTCCAGAATCTACATAGATATTTAGATACGGGCATTTTCCGTCGGCGCACGAATTCCATTCTTCGGGAGATCTGTCCTTGATATTGATAAACTTGTAATACAACATCCTATTCGGGGAGATAAAAATAAGTATCAAAGACGCCGTTGTAGTAAAAATACAGTCTCATACAAAGTATGTACTACACAAGTTTGATCGGACACAGCCGTATATAACAAAATAATATCCAACCTCTCCCCTATCCCTTTCACCCCCAAAAAATAGATTCAATCTCGCTAAAATAAATAATTGTTTTCTTTTACATGAATATAGTTTGTTTCCTCTGAATATTTTCATTTTGTATTATACATGTTTCCTGTTTATTCCGAAGAAGACTGTTAAGTCGGAACAATCATGTACCGGTATACGATGATATTATATAAAAAAAATCATGTGAAGTTGTCTTTATTATTCAACATTATTCCTGTCTTTTTCTCCTAATTCACTGTTTATAAATAGAAAATAGTTACTTAAAATCCGGCTTTTATTTAAAGCAGCACGCCTCCAGATACATTTTCATTTTCACGAAAATGTTGGAAATGTATTTAAAAGTAAAATATTGTGAGGTGAATCAATAAAAGTAATTTGCGTTTTACAACCGACACATACAATCCACGCAAAAAAACAACAACAAAAAGTGGTCAACAGATGTAAAAACAGCCCCTACTGCGTAAGTAACGCAGTAGAAATATGGTAATAAAATATTATAAAATCAGTCTTAAACAGCACATAACATGTAAAATATAACTTGGACCTTGAATGTTTTTACCTTATTTATATCTTAGTACATTTTTGTCAATATTGATTTCTTGAAATATTTTGGCTCATCAGGAGGCATGCAGCTTTAACATATTCGAGAAAGTTATATATTTTAATGACGTACCCAGTAGTGTCATCATAATAGTATTTCTTGCCATCTAACTCACTTGATTGCTCATCAAGTTCTTGCAAAGATTCTACCTTAGTAAAAGAGCTCGCGCCATTCAATCTGTGTGGCCAGAAGCTCGATATTCTAAAAGAAGCGTCCCGTGGAAGACAAAATCCAACCCTGAGAACATCTCCTCTGAAGACAAAATACGGATTAACTAAGGCGGAAACTATTAAATTTATAAAAGATGTTGAATCTCTGACAAACTTAATATTGTTTTAATATATTTAGTATTAAATCTACACGAACATATTAGTCTAATAATCATATTTCGACAATAAGAACTGATTACAGTTAAAAAGAGTCCTTTTTCATTGAAGCACATATAGTGTAAGGATAACATTAAAGCTGTCCTTTTTCATTGAAGCACATATAGTGTTAGGATAACATTAGAGCTCTTTAACATAGCGAAAATAATATCACGTCATAGTATTATTACACTAGTGTTATACAGCTTTTATTAAACTCCTTGGCAGTGGTTTATGTGAAAAATAATGTACAAAACCAAAATATACTAATATGGTACTGATCTAGGTGCGCTTGAGCCTGTTTATATATAGATAATAAAAGGTATTGCTATTTTTGCAGATGATTTCAATAAGACGTAGCTGTATAACATGAGCTTTTTCTATCTAATTCACATTTTTTTGCGAACTTTTGACAAAATCAAACCTGTTTCATTCAATGTCAAATCATAAGTAAAAAAAAACTACTTACGTTTCCATACCCTCTCCTGTCACTTTTATATCACCAGGAATTTCTCCCAAGAAATGTACTGTGTATGAATGACTACCGTCAAGGACTACTTTCGGTCCATTCGTCTGCTCCATTTTCATGCTCATTTGGGCGCTTGGCAAATCATCGCGCACGAATACTGCGCCTTTGTTATTGTTGTTTTGCCTAAATCTTAGGTTCAACTTTTAAAGAAAAAAAATGATATTTTAATGTTAAAAAATAGAGAATTAAAAAAAAATGATGTGATAAATATATAACTTAAGATCTGTCACAATGGAGTCTTTAAATATAAAAGAACTTGAGACGCAAAACAGTGTGATAAGAGTACTTGGTTTTTGTTCTCAAATCGGTAAGAAATTATAACTGGAAAATAAATCGAAGTGTTTATTTGCTTCTACAACAATATTTCAATCATTTACTTGTTTCGATAGCCACCATACACGTAAAATCAGTGAAGCAGAAAGCACACAGAATTTTAGTAAAGTAAACTCACGTCGCCATATTTAGTCTCGCATATTGCAAGTCTCCAGTTAGTACGAATTCGGCAATCGGCTGCTGCAGCAGAGAGATGGTCCGGTCTAACAACATAATACCTCTTAACACCTTCCGGTGTGTCACGGTACCAGGTAAATCCCATCACTTTTTGCCCGTCATCTTCCGGCCATCCGGCGTCAACACCATACGATCCAGTAATTGCTAAGTTGCCAAGACCAGGCTGGAATTATGTAAAAATGTTTAATTATTCCATACAACCGATTAAATATCCTTCAATGAAGAACAATGCAGATCAGATGAAAAACTCTTTATTGAAAGGACATTATGCGCTGGGTCTCATCGAAGAACTATCGGACAGCAGGAAAATGGATGAAATCTATTGCATAGCGACTGTTGTCTTCGGAGCAATACGTGAATTGCAATACAAATATATGATCTACATAACATGATGTATACTGGTTTTTAGCTCGACTATTCGAAGAATATGAGAGCTATTGTAGTCGCCCCGGCGTCGGCGTCAGCGTCCGCGTCGGCGTCTGCGTTGGTTAAAGTTTTTTGTAAAGTCAAATATCTCAATTATTACTTGAGATATTCAATTGAAACTTACAATACTTATTTATAGTAACAAGGTACATCAGATTGACAAGTTGGATAACTCTGCCTACAATATTGACAGAATTATGCCCCTTTTTAACTTAGAAATTTTGGTTAAAGTTTTTTTGTAAAGTCAAATATCTCAATTATTGCTTGAGATATTCATTTGAAATTGCATTAAGGCTGATTCATATCCACTTTTCTACTTAGTCTCTTGGTTAATGTTTACATGCAAGTTTTACATATCTCAATAACTATTAAAGATATTTATTTAAAACTTCACATATGCATTTAGGGTCATAATTGTAGGTCACTGACAAAGATCCATAATTCTATCTTGCATTTAGGCTGATTTTTCTCCCCTTTTTCAACTTAGAAATTCATGGTAAAGTTTTGCTTGTAAGCTGTTATCTCAATAACTACTGAAGGGTTTGTGCCTTTTTTGGGACAATTTTATGCATTCATAATAATAAAGCAGTGATTTACTTGATAAAACATCTTAATAACAAGCCTTTGTACCTTTTCTGTCAAATTTATGTATTCATAGGTAATTAGTATTATTATACTCAATAAAACACCCTTGTGACATTACCTTCCGAATAGTCAAGCCAATTCTGTATAATTAGACTCTCTCTAAGGCCATGAGTATAACATGAATTTATAAAAAAAAATTAGCCCTTTTGTGAACTTAAAAAATTTAACATTATCAAGGATCTTTTACTATCAAGCACTTAGAATAGTCGAGCATGCTGTCCTACCGACAGCTCTTGTTGTTAAATATATTAAAAGAGTTATACAGTCTATAGTTAAAGGCAAATCATTGCATGACGTAGGATTTTCCATGAATATAACAATTATTAAGTAATTCTTAATATTTCATCCGTATCACAAAACAGCTTTCAAAAGTGCATCAAAATAGCGTCAAACCATGTTTAAATGCGTTTAGTCACGTGATACAACAAACTTGCATTTGTTTTCATATAATATACATTTTTATAATAAAAATATTATAAAGCTTGAACCAAAGGATTGCTTAATAACAATCTCGCTAAGTAAATGTTTACAAATATATAACAACATGTTTTCTTCTAAGTGTAATATAGAAAAAGGATTATGATGTCATGGGAAACAACTTACACCGTCATCTAAAGCATACTGTATGTTTCTGTACTCGTTGGTCATAGGAAATAGATATGGTGATGGTCGTTTTTGGCCGATTGCTCCGGTATCATAAATATTATTCTGTTTGAAACCATCAAACCACAACTCGCTGAATTTCATAGGTCCGAACCACATCGTCATGCCAGTATGAGGTGTATTCCTAACATAAATTATTTTTGACATTTCATCAAAAGTTTCAAAAAATTAACTCCATAAAGAAAACAATTTAAGTAAAGGCATATTTCTCTAAGAAATGAATATTTTTTTCTTCAGCAAGGAAAAACGTATTTTCATAAATGTTTCGGTAATGGTTTTAAAGTATGTTATATACTGATCACTAGTAGACAGTAGTGCTGAATGTGAAATCATTTGTTATATAAGAGCCGCGTCACGACAAAACCAACATAGTGGGTTTGCGACCAGCATGGATCCAGACCAGCCTACGCATCCGTGCAGTCTGATCAGGATCCAAGCTGTTCGCTATCAGTTTCTCTACTTGTAATAGGGTTTGTAAGCAAACAGCATGGATCCTGATCAGACTGCGCGGAGGCGAAGGCTGGTCAGGATCTATGCTGGTCGCAAACACTTTACGTTGGCTTTGTCATGACGCAGCTCATATGTAGCAACTTGTGGACAAAGTGGTATTTTGACTTCCATACGAAATTCTCAATAACTATAATTGATAACTGATGTTTATGTAAGCTTATTACCAAAGAATAGAAGAAGCATTCAGCTTTAAAATCAGTGAGTACTCATTTAGAAATGATATCAGAACACAAACAGAGAAAAGGAAAAGCTTTCGACAAATAAAGAAAATAAAAGCATTTTTAGGCCTCATGGTCCTTTAAATTGAAATGCAGTAAAAGATGGTGATTTTGCTGCCAATATTGTTATTATTGTGTGTTCAAATGGTTGGTTTTAAACCAGTTTGCAGTAGGGCTTGTGTATGTATTTGTGGGAACTCTATTGTTGTTAACCTCTCTGACTTCGAATCACTTACACCACGGCAGTGTTGTATGTTTGAATGCCTCCAGGGACTACGATTTTTTTTCTTCATGTGAGGAGGTTTTCCAACTAACTAACAACAGATCGGTTGCCTTACTAAGATGTCTGCTGCTGACAGAAATAATCAACCGAACATACAAGATTTTTTCTCTACCGATTAAGTTGAAAAAAAATCATTAAATTCTTAAAATTGTCGGTTTGACAGAAAATTCAAATAGATTAATTTGATTTTGTTGTAACTATTTTACCGGTCCATTAATCTGGTTCCCTGTCCTATTATGGTTCCCTCCAAGATGGCTGCCCATAATGGGATCAGGAAACCCCCAAGCGTATTGGACAGATTTCTGTCCAATGGACTGCGTCGTAAATAAAATATTCCAAACAACGAGATAATGAACGCAAAATTGAAACCAGTCGAGCACCTGTTAGCCTTATCCAATCAGCTAATGTCCTAGATTTAAATAGCCAATGAAACCGCTTTTGGGTTTCCACGGTAAAAATAGAACGCCACAACAACAACAATAATGAAACAAGTTTTTCCCTCGATCCAGTGAAAAATGTTTGAATTTCTTTGACTAAAGTAATTCTTTATGTCATAATTATGATACACAAATTGTAAAAAATGGTTAACTTGCCATACATAGCACTATCAGTGACGGAATATAACCAAACATGAAGAAATGTATACACAATGTCACATTTCATAGATATCCCCTAGATATGTACAATGTACCCGGTAGGCTTGTAGCTGTTTCATATAACAAACATAAAACAATAGCTTCAATGTTTTATACCTCATTAGAGATGGTTAATTCCATCACGGCACACCCTTCCCCTGCAAAACATTTTCACCATTGGCTGGTAAAATAGCCTCTATTTCCCAATTTCAAAAGAAAGAATCCAAATACATGTAGATCAAGCAGGTACGTATATTAAAAAAACAAAACTGTTTCAACACCTGAGAAAAATTGAACTGTTTGACTTGATTCTTAAAACAAGTGACAGATTATATGATCATACACATATTTAAAATCTGAAAAGGCATGAAAAGTAAAAAAAAAGATTAAAAATCATTTAGATGTAAAGCACAGGTTTAATAACTTAGAATTTCAGTGGCAAGGAATCCATGAAAAAAGTTTGGAAGAATGTAAAAAGGCATTATTTCTCAGGAATCTTGATTTGACTTATTTAATATGAAATTAGGCAAAGTCTATGGACAGGGAAGTCAGTTAAAAAATTGGTTCATTTTTCCATTCAGTATTTCATGCACCACTTTCGTTTTCACTCGGAACACTGGAATATTATTATTGATCCAAAAAGTTGCGATTGTTTCATTATCGGAATACCCAGCCTATTATCATTGAGTAACATTTAATATAGTGGCACCCTATTAAAACTGACACTAAAAATTTTATTGATATAGAATTCTATGTATTTTTAATATATTATTAGGCCTATATTCTGTAGACCATCAATTCCCTATTACTCACTCCACATTCTTAATCTATATTTTAAGCTCTTTAACATTATGAACATGTACTAAAACAATATATTTAATGAATAAATATTCCAAATATGGTAGTTCACATAGCCATTCTATCAAAATTTTAGTACTAGCAATTATTTCTGAAGTTTATTAAAACATTGGTCTTAAGGTAAACAGAAAATTTAACATTTATCTATGTTTATCCTTTTACAGATTTGCTTTTATAATATAGCCAATATCTTTGCTCCTACTGAGATTTGAACTCAGAACTAGTTTGCATGAGTTATCAATAAACCAGAGGTGTTTTACTAATTAAACTATAGGAGACATAGTATCAGCCACAATGTTTATAGAAAACTATTAATATTTCTACAAATTTACAGAAACAATATTAACATGATAGAATAGATACAATTAAAGTATTTTTGGCTGGTATTTGTTTACTACCTTACTTATGTGCAGTGATTATTTTCCTAAATTTTACAGAAAAAAAGAAGACTTTTTCCTCAAAATGCTATTTTTCAACTGAAATGCCCTGTGCACATTATTCACCAGAACCATGACTTAAAAGCAGCTGACTTATATGATTATCTGCTAAGTGATAAAATTTATTGAAAGAAAGTTGTTATAGATAGCCTATGCCATATATGTTAAATTGAATTGATAATTTAATTAAATGTGTAGGTGAATTCCATTCATATTTGTTGGAATTTGATTTCATATTTTTTCCCTTTTTCTGATTTATCTTGATATATAAAATAGATTGGTTTGAAAATTGTGAAAAAAAAAATGATGTGGTATCAACAAATTGACATTGACAATTTGACATTCATAATGATTAAATGAGTATTTAAATGTTGGAAAAAATAGTGAAGATTATGTTAACAGTCTATATGACCATATTTTTGTTGCTTTTCATTATCCTAACATGATGAATACAGTGAATACAATAAATACTGCCTTTTATACATCTGAAATTGTAAGAAATGTTTACATCAAGTTTACAATAAATTTTAAGTAAAATATGTTTCATGTGCACATAAATATCCTAAACCATTATTGATGATTGCATGGAATTATATTATTACTCATAGCTAGTTGCTCACAAGGCTTCAAGCAAGCTGGTGGATTCCGGAAAAAAAAGTGCAGTTGGCAATAACTGCTTCAAATACATGCAATAGTCTGTAGGTCAATCTTCTACTTGACATTTTTATGATTCGCAACAATAAAAATTCATCACATAACAAATCGCCATGTGTTTAATTACCTTTTTTTCACATTCATAATGGGGCATTTTCAAACAGTTGCTGAAATCTTATTAATTATTTTCCATTTTAAATTTCGCTTCTTGAGTAAATTTTACTCAATTTTTGCTTTAATCGTACAATGGTGCATCATTATTTAACTCTAGCAAATTGTTATTGTGGCATATTGTTAATAATTTCTTGTGGGGAAGTACCTTATCACCAGTAATTCAATATCAAATCAAAATTTTGAATGTCATATAAACAAAATCAAAAACTTGTTCCTCCCTTTTGTTCCTTATTTTGGCTCAAGCTTGAATCATTTAGTTTTTTGAAAGGTCAGTGAGAAATAAAAAATTAAGAGGAGCAGTGGCCTGGTGTTTGTTAAGGTGTCTACCTTTCAACATATGTATCATGGTTTGTTAGAGTCGATGACTTCTAATCCAGATACCTCTCTGGCGTGGGTTCGATCCCCAGGAGATGCTTAGGTAGTTTGGCATGGAGGAAGGTCGTCTTGTACTGGTGTAACTCTCCAGGAAAAATGGTTAGGAAACTACCCGCCTTTATGTTCTGAAATACTGTTGGGGAAAAGGCCGTAAAATGAAACAAAACAAACAAAAACAAAATCAAGCACTAATCGGGTCACAACCATGTTTCTTCATCAATGACACAAATATGGTTTGGTTCAAGGAAGTAGACTCTTCTTGCCTATAAGTAATGTATATGTATATCATTTTCATGATGACTGACCACCATAGGAAATTACATTTAAATTTGATAAGGGGGAGAAAAAAATGTAAAATGAAATTCCCTCAAGGAAACTGTCCCTGGAGTTGTGTACTAGATAATACGGGGAAGTCAAAGACCGGGCCCGCGAAGCGGGTCCGGGCTTTGGCTTGCCCGACTATAAACTATACGTGTTTATGTATAAGAAAATCAAATAAAAAACAATTAAAAAATATATAGAATTCTATACCTATCAATAAAATTTTCAGTGTCAGTTCTGGTCGGGCACCGCCATTTACAATGTAACTCAATGATAATAGGCGGGGCATTCCGATAACGTAACAAATCTCAACTTTTCGGATAAATAATAAACGTCGAGTGTTCCGAGTGAAAACGGAAGCGGTGCATGTAATACCGAATGACACCTTTAAACCGGAAAGAATAAAGGGAATTTTTAACGACTTCCCCGTGCATAGGCATGCCTAAATCCATATTATCATATGGATGGGAAAAAAAATGAGAAAACATTGATTTCTTGATGTTTTATAAATTTAAACCATTTTGAAAATAAGCCACAACCATTTTGAAATATAATCTTATTTCATATAATCTTTGAATTATATGGGTCGAATCGTTAATGGGACGGATCTAAATCAATGGCTTTGATTACGTTGAATTATTCCCAGCATAGGCTAAAACAAACAGTCCTCACATGTATTCATTGTTATCATGCCTTTTCTTATTTAACATATTACGGTTTTGAAAATAAATTTCGCAAATATAACCTCTCGATAAAAGTAAAATAACAGAAATATTACTAAATTTCTGTATGCTCTTCAGCCACCGGCAGCCATATTTGTTTACATATATCGATTGACCAATGAGGTAACTGCATTCGCTGGAGGTTTCCTGTCGTACTTTTTACTTCGGTGTCGTCCACGATCACTGATTTCATCAAGCGTCCAGAAAATTGATTAAGCAGCTGATCGCTGTAATAATATGAAACGGAAAAGCAATGTGAATAGGATAAATGTAACAAATTAGCAAACAGTTATATGAAAAGGCGAAAAGATTTATTCATCAAATAACACTAGTCTATTAATTTCACTCTGTAAAGGAGGTTATTTAAAACCTTTTTGATGACTGATCACTATCATTAAGTACCTATTATAAGTCCGCTTTTTTGTTTATTTATTTATCATTATTCTTTATTTATTTTTTTATATTTTAACATTCATATGCCTTCATTATGCAATAATGAAATCCAAAAATACTTAATTGTTAAGACATTTTTGAAAATAAATTAAGGAAGTTGTAGAAGGAATAAATTATTGCCTTTGCGTGTATATATTTTTTAATCTAACCGGGTATACAATATACCGTATGCTTATATTGAATATGTACATATATAATACAGAATAAATAAAGAAATCAAACTCATTTTGAATATCAATGCATATTTCAAATTGCCAAATAAATCATCGCATCATTGACTTACTTGTGAACCATTATTCCATTTGAGCTGTCGGCAACGCTAAAATATAATAAAGCTTTGAAATAAGTTGTTAAAGTAATCAAATACAAGCAAAATAATAATAATAAGTATTTTTCCGGGCTTGTAACGATCTCAATTACGCCGTATTGAGCGTTATTTAATATTTCCATTTTCTTATTTTCAACATAAACTAAAATATTATATGAACTTGTAAGTTTGTACTATTCAGTGTAACCTCTCGACAGACTGTAAGGCAGTTAAGATTTTCTACGCCCTGTATTATTGTTACAAACACGGTTTGCTGCGGTTAGCACTTTATGGAGACATTATTTAGATTGCTAAGTAAATCGCTACGTTCTAATCATGCACTTTTTTATTTGTATATATGAGAGACTTGTCAAGAAATGGGGGCATATTTACGTGATATGAGTCCAGTTTATAAGTCCACCCTCGATCCATATGTTTAAACGGCTGTTCTTGTACGCTGTTGTATGAATGGAAAATATAATTTTTTATACATAAAGTACAATTACCAGGAGAACATAAAGCATACTGAATAAACAGAATGAAAGAATTTGATTCAATTTAATGAAAGGTTTGAGTTTATTTAAAAATGAAAGTTTTAATTCGTATCAATTGACTATTTACATGCGTAAACGTGGATCAACTCTCGGTTGCCAATGGTTACAACACTTCAGCGTTCGGTCTGCTATCAGATGATTGCCAATCATGATTCATTTCTATAAAACATCGTTTAAATCCATTGAAGCGAGGATAAAAATTGCTAGTTTGGAATATTTAAGGGACTCCACTGAGGTTTTTTGACATGACTGGAGTGAAATAATTTTTCGGGATTGATGTTTCATTTGATGTAGGTTTAGACCAATAACTTGTGTGCAAAACTTTAAATAATTCGCCCACTCATATTTTTTCTAAATAAAAATTCTAATTATTTACTTTTACTCATGAAATATGGTGCTATATCAGTCAAATATATTTCATATTTTTTTCAAAATGAAATATAAATATGAAAGTGGCGGAGTCAAAACTCATATTTATTTTAAGGGACTTCTTTCGCCCTTTTGTTTGAAAAATCTGATAAATACAAAATAACTTTTTGTTGAATTTTGTTTTGAAAACTATCTAGAATGATAGAAAATGGTCTAAATAAGAAAATAAATAGAGGATATTTGTTTAGTTCAGTGTAAGATCGGAATATATTTCACCGAGTGAGCACCAAAAGGTATATTTCACGAGTGGCGCAGCCACGAGTAAAATATGAACTTTTGGTGTTCACAAGGTGAAATATATTTCAATCTTACATTAAACTAAACATTTAATTTTCTTTTTATTATATGCAAAGAAACGTTTTAAAAAGTCCTAATACTGAATGAAAAGCGCGCCAAATAATAATACACCGTGACGTCATTTACGACGTCACGTCATTAAGTTGGTATCCAGTACTGTGCACGCTGGTATTTCACTGAAACAACGTAAGGGGCTTAAATTCAAAACAGTGAAATTATCAAAGTGGTAATTTCACTGTTTCAAACAGTGAAATTACCAGTTTTATATCACTGATATATTTCTATAAACCAGCGAAAAGCATGTAATAAATCCGAACACCAATATATTTAATTCAGCCGACAGACGTTTAAAGAGTTGTTTACGTGACGTCACAATTTAGCGCTAAATATCGCGTGTAAAACAAGCGCAGTAATATATTACTGTGCGTTGTACAATTGCAGTTGCGTAGCAAGAAATGGGGTTTGTAACCATTTTTCTTTGATAATGAAATTAAATAAAAAGTTGTTTTTTTCGTTTTCCGTGAAATATGGTATATATTTTCACTCAACATAATAAAATGCCACATATTTTCACTCGTGGTCCCGGCTCGTGAAAATATGTGGCATTTTATCATGTTTCGTGAAAATATATTCCATATTTCACTCAAACGAAAAACTATCCTCTTAATATTTTAAAATCCTCTCCCTCCCACCACTAATTTGCGATTACCGATGTCTTTTGCTGCCGTATAATTTATATATTTTCAGAAAGTCAAAATAGTACAAATATTTCGTCATGGCTGGAGTTTCCTAATTTTGGTTGCTGAAAAAGAACTGGTTATTAGAGAGCTTCTGTACACATTAATTGGCTACCGTTATCGGAGCCTATGCGATTGGTGTCTTGTAGCATTGTTACTGTAGTTACTTCAATAATTTTATGGCATAATCTATCATTACGTAGGGACATACATGGAACTTTGTTAAAAATGCCTTATATTCTTGATTACCAGCCATTGACAAAAATATCGCCATACCATAAGAAATAAATACAATTAATTAAAAGTATATATTCTTTGTCGTTTTTTTGTGATGGCATAATTGTTCATATTACAAACATATTCCGTTCTTTTAGCAATGGATGGATTACAGCTCTTATTCACCTAAAATATATTCGTGCTATCGGGGTGACGAGTAAGCTCGGATGCTAGATATCTGCCGTAAAATCACCGAAAATTAATTATCAGCAAGTTTATTTACATGCGATATAACCATTGGCATGACAATAATTTACATGTATTATTTTATATGCAGTTTGAGTCATCTATTGGTTATATTTTTATGTTGGAGGAATTATGAAATAATGCAATTAACCCGATAGACATTTTAACGACGCGGTCCGTTGCTATAAAGATCGACCGGAAGTAGAATTTTCTCGCGTATGCGCAATCTGTGTAGGGCAAAAAGGCATTGCCCTACACAGAAAGAGAGTAGAAGTTCATAGACAATTCCGAATTATTTTATGGCAAAAGGTAGAAAATTATATAAAATAGCTTTTGAACAAAAAATAGAAAAGATGCCTGTATAACTTTGTGGCAAAGAATGTCATACAAAGGCATGAAAAAGATAATTGTTTAAGAATGTACGATCACGGACCTGACAGTAGCTGAGATCATTTTTTAAGAAGATGTGGAAATATAGCTATTAGCAAATGAAAATTAAACTTAATTGTTGTTAAAAAGGTTTATAAAAAGAAGAGAAATTTTATAACATGAAATCGAGATTAATTATCATTCTGTAAAACGTCAGAACAGGTGATAGTGCATTTTAGTGTTTAGTTTACCTGAATTTATCCCTTACCTGATTTGACTGTGATGCAAGCAGAAATATTTTAAGTCACATAAATATATTTTAAATGATTAAATATTATTTTTCAAAATCTTGAGAAGTTAAGATGGGTTGTTGGGGAGTGACGTAACACACATTTTATCCGGTTCCTCGTAACACATGTTAATTTTTATAATGCACGTCACACTATTTGTCACTTCATAAAATGTAAAAGTTACTTTAATGACGATTTTAATAATTGTACGTGATAAACTATGTCAATGGTAGGATACTACGTCATCGCGCACCGGCTGAATGCTCCCACTGGGACCATTTGTTCGTCGACTTGAAGGTAAAATAACATTTTATTATAAGAAAACGTTAGAGTATCAAAAAACATGTAGCGCACCAAAGAATGGCTATAGTACTTTAGATAATTGTAAAAAAGTATATAGATTCATTGCCTGGTTTATGCCTGAAAACGGGATAAGTGTTTTTCTCTGAATGCTCCCACTCGGACTTTTCAAAACATATCAGAAATAAGGTTGAATACTAGAATATAAACCGAGTCATGTTTACACATTTTTCTAGATTAGTTTCAAATATTTCTATTCAAAAGTCAGTTCTTTTAAACATTTTTTTTATAAAAATGGAAAATGCTACCACTCGGACTCGATTTCAGAGATGCTCCCACTCGGACCCAAATATATACATTTTGAAAGCACATTGTTGTGTTAAGCTTTTATGGATTATTCTCACAATTTTTACATCATTTTGTCAATAACTAATGTGTTTGGCGACATTAACTTTTTTCTTCTTTTTACAGAGATCACTTCTTTGATTCTGAAGAATGACGTCGTTGGGCAGGAACAAGGTGTCATGGCAAAGTTTCAAATGACAGGATCACTTTACAAAAAGGTGCACTTGGCTTGTGTTGGATCCGAAGGGATGATTCAAAATTATTGCCAACAACAAAGCTAGGACTATAAAACTTTAAATGGACAGTTTGGATTTCAAGAATAAATATCTATCGGTTGATTTGAATAGTTTATTAAAGAACAACATGTAAATCATTTTTAGTTTAAACAATATTTTATTTATAAGCATTACATTTACATGATAATTGACAAATAATAAATAGTACGGATTGAGTAGGAAGCTTGAAAAGCTTTTTTAGAAACTCTTTCCGTAATCACTATCTCAAAGAGTATGTAAAATGGTAACAATTATATGCATTTTTGTGTTAAATATACATAACATTTTCACTATAAACTTGCTTCTTTACATGTACAAGAAAGTTAGCAATTTGAACTCTGGTTTTCCTAATCGAAACGACCTTAATAATAAAATATAGACATAAAAATGTGAAGGAAAGCCCTATAGCTCTATAGCATAAATACACGTAAGTTTTAAATGCACAAATTAGCAGGTTGAAACTTATCTGGAAACGTAAGTTAATTATTGTTGAAATCATTTTTGTCATGAACTGGTTTAAAAAGTCAATGTACTGCCATACCATGGCACATAAAACATACATCACAATTATTGACACCTTTGACAGTTTTAAGTATAAAAGTTATCATATGTACGTATTTTTACCTAAAATAACAAAATTAAATAAATAAGAAAACAAAGATCAGTTATTTCTTTATCACAGTCTTTACCATATCTTGGTAATTAAATATCCTGTTAGTTATATTTCAGGTTGTTACCAATTGAAATTGTATAGATATGTATATAATTATGCTATTAAAACAATTTTCAAACATTCAGGAATATGTAAAATACGTACTGCAAATGCTTGTCCACACTATATGTAATCATCAAATATAAATGTATGCATTCATTTCTTATTGAAGAATTGAACTTACACTTAATAGAAAATATATTTCTAATTACCTCCCTTTATGAAATGCAAATTCAGTATTATCTTTACAAATAATGCTTTTTGGAACATACAATATTGATAAATCTTCATTTGACCATTATATTTATGATATAAAGCCAAAGAAAATTGATTTCAGGATATTTAAATGACGTTAAAATAATAACAATCACAGACAGTAAAATCCCCCGCCGAAAAGGAGGACATACATTTCATAGGGGAAGTAACCCTTACATACATGTAAAATCCAAGTAATGACACTCGTAAAAATTAATGAAAATTTATAGCCTAGAGATAATAAATCATGACAAAAATAACACTCCCATGAAAAAAAAAAAGAAAAAACAACAAAGAAGTATTAAGTGAACACTTCTGGTGCTTATGCTCTGCTATTCACTTCTATTAAACATGTTCAATATAAAGTTTCAAGTTTAAATATCAAATACCTTTAGAGGTATGGTCCTT